GCCGCACAATCACCACGAAACCTCTCTCACTCTCTCTCTCTCTCTCTCTCTAGGATAGATGCCTGCGAGCGGAGGTGGGAAGATCGCGGGGCTGGGATTCTCACATCATGGGTTTCAATGAAAACGATTTTTTCTGAGGAGGATGTAAAGCTGGACATGGCGTACTTACTCTTTGTCACCGAGCTTCACTTCAGTGCCGCCGTACTCGGGCAGAAGAACAAGATCTCCTTCCTTGAAGGCCACGTTGACGAGGCTCCCGTTCGCATGGCGGACGCCGGGGCCCACTGCGACGACTTTCCCAGAGTTCAGCTGGTTCAAACAGACAAATTGAGATATATTAGACGCAAAAAAAGGAAACGAGAAGATTTGAAGACCCATTGACTTGTAAAATGATGGGAGATGATGTGAGTTCCCGGGGGAGATTTCCGACAGGAAATCGGTAGACAGCATCCGTGGGTAGCTGAGTTGCCGAGATTATGGAAGGAGTGGCTTTGGAGGATGGAACACGGAGCCAAAGATTGTGTTCCTGATCCGGCAGACCAGTTTTGACTTCGCTCCTCATGCTCAAGACAGGAATGTTTTGACATGGATGAGACCAGCCCATGGCAGGTCAGGCCCAAATTGACCAATTCCAGGTCAGAATGCTCTATTTTTAGCAGATAAGATTGGCTAGGGTTCTTATACCAAACTACCTGGGGCCGGCCATTCAGCTGACAGTAAAAAAAGTCAATAAAGAGTAGATAATCTCTATTCTGATCATCAGAGTTTGAGGTTCTTCATTTTCGCCCTTATTTTCCTTGTAATAAGTAGACCATCATTCTTAAAAAAAAGAAAAGAAAAGCAATCAGATTTAGAGAATCTGACCAAGTTCCCACATATCCCATGCTAGCTTCAAATCTTGATATAGTTCAGAAAATCACTGGAATGATTCATTCCCCGATCTGAGGGTGTTTGAATAATATTCATAAAAAAATTGTAACAAGAGCTGGTTATGAAACAAAAGCTGTTTAAAGTTTTTTTTTTAAAAAAAAGGAGATTTTGACAAGACGGGAAAGCAAAGGGAGAAGGGATTTTCAAAGAACTGATTATCCGATATAAACGTTAGAAGAGAAGCAAATCCACATCGTCCGAAATATCTTCGGGATTGAGGACAAAACGGGAAAGTAAGATGTGCAAACGTCCAGTCAGTCTCCTGATTTGATGTCCAGCAATCATAGCTATAGAATGGCAGCGATCAGGAAATGAGGCGTGGACATTCCTAACGGTTCTCTGGATTCAGAAACCGCAATAATGCAAGCATCTTTCGCCTGTCCGAGCAGCCATGGAAGATGAAAAACATGGCGATCATTTCGGAGCAGAAAATCTTATCACACCTGCTTGCTTAACCTGATCTATGATGAGCAAAACAGTTTGTCTGTTTCCTTTCCTTTCCTTTCCTTTCCTTTCCTAACGTTGGGTCCTCGTGCTCATCGAGCTTAGGTTCGCACAATAAAACTGCAGAAAGTTATTTCCCAAGTCGTGATCCCGAAGAACAGAGATTAATCCACGAGGAGAAGCCAATATTCAGAAATACAAAGGGCCACAACCGTAAAATCTCATTTCATCCGGCAGCCAGAAGGAAATATCTCAAAAACGCCGTCATCTAGAGGAACCGGAGATCAAGCGGCGGGTAGAATCAAAGACGATCAATGCGGCGGAGGAAGGAGAAAACAACGACCGGGAGGATGATGTGCGCCCAAATCACACGGGCGCTTCATTCGAACCTGTGTCTGTCCGCCGTCTCAAAATTGACCGGGATGCGAGAGCAAGGAAGATACCTTGGCCGTCTTTTCTGGGAGGAGGATACCGGCGGTGGTCTTGGACGGGGGCACGATCTTCTCCACCAGAACTCTGTTCAGCGCGGGGATCAACCTCTTCAGGGCGGCCATGGCAGTCGGAGAACCAGCAGAACCTCAACGAATCACGTATGATGGTAGGGTTTAAGACAAAGTTACCCCCCCCCCCCCAACAAATAAATTACACAAATACCCCTAATTCATATAGCTTAGACAACGTTCTGGACATTCTCTCCTGATCTGAGCCCAGCCCATTTTTTTGAGCCCAACAGTTGGGCCCCGCACACTTAGGCCCATTCTCTTTTCCAATGGATTCTGCTCGCATCGTTGTTCGGCGTCTTCTTCCCCGTGTCTCATGTGAAATGAGCTCCTAGTGTGTGTGCATGGGGGAAAGAGAGAGATAGAGAGAGCACATCGACCCGGATTAAAAGACCAACTGATGAAGCAACATGCATACATACAGCTGATTCCTCTCTCTCTCTCTCTCTCTCTCTGACTTATTCTTTACTGAAGAGGCGGCGGGTGGTGTGGAAGGTTAGATTCCCACGGGGTGGATTGGTCTGAAGGCCCATCGGGCCCAACCAATTTTGGGCAGACCAGGCCCAAACCAAGCTGTTACCTATCCATTGTTCATGTTGGGCCGGGCCTCGGTTCCAAAAGCCCAACCAGACCACTATTAAAAGAAAAACCCATAAAAAATTTTACCCCCTGCAGAAATTGCAAATAGCATGATACCTCAGCAACAGCTGAGCTCCGATCTGATTAGGATCAAGAGAGATCGGCCTGTGCCTCTATCTATGTCTTGATGGGCCCACCAACTAAGTCAACGGAAGCTCCAGCCTTGACGATAGCTCTGCATTATAATGGGCCGAGGTTTTGAAGGTCAGCGAGGCAGCGATGGAGCAAAGACTTTGCTTGCTCGTTCTTCTCGACCTCGCACAGGTGGGTGAGCTCTTCGATGAAGGTCAGCTTTGGGTCAACTGGAGGAGCTTCCTTCCACAGGCTGATCATCTCCAGGAGGCACTCTGAAGCCGCCATATGGACCTGCAGTTGGCAGCAGGAGAGAGGAGTTGGGAGGAAAGTCGTATATTTTGAGGGGTATAAATGAGAATCCGAGGGCTGGACAGGTTGACCGCGGACCTGGGAAATCTTTATGGTGCTTATGCACTCGACCACCTTAGGGGCGACGTCGTTGACCAGCTGGAAAGGACCACAGAGCAGAATTATCAATAAAAATGAGTAAGTTTGGGAAATAAATAAATAAATAAATAAATAAATAAAGGACAAATGGTTGGTGTCTCACCTCATGAACGAAGGAAGAAGCAAGCGGGGAGGACTTCGGATGGGTGCGGAGCTTCGAGCAAAGCTCTCTGATTGATGCAAAGGTGGCCAGCTTCACTGCGAACACAGGGCGGGGGCAGGTGAAGGTCAACGCCACGCAGAAGAAAGGAGACGAACTGATGTGGAGGGGGGCGGAAGCTACCAGGCCAGGAGAACTTCGATGAGAGGGCCACGTGGAAGACGTGTATCAGGTCTTTTCCCTTCGCCAGAGTGTCCTCCGGACGGGCCACGTGGATTCCCGAGGTTATACAGTCGACAACTTTGTCCAGCGGGACTGAAGCGTCTTCTTCTGATTTGTCTTCTCCAGCAGCTGCTCAAAAGAAAAGAAGAAGAAAAGAAGAAGAAAAGAAGAGAGATCACCTGCCATCATTTTTTTTAATTTTCTTCTGAACATGATTATTATAATAAAATATAAACAAAAAGTACACCAATGCTTTTTCTCTGATAAAATCTCTTTGATAAAATATTTTATTTTATTTTATTTTCTCCGATAAGAAAGACACAACAGTGGAGAAAATAAAATAAAATAAAATAAATCTTCTCCTTACTTATAGAGTGAGTTCCTTTGATTCTAGGAGATGCGTAAAGGGAAAACAGTGGCCACATATGATGTTGTTCAGAGATTCACCTGCTCGAGAAGGAGCACTAGCGGAAGGTGTGTTGGCAATCTTAGTCATTGCCTCATTGCAGATAGATAATAATAAAGGAAAGGTGCCATTGAAGGACTCCGGGTCGTCAAATGCTTTTATAACCTGAAACAGACATGAAATTTATCATCAGAAAAAGGGCTAGTGAATCATAGTCTTTTAAGTTATATGGATGCATATGCTCGAAATCCTCGCCTTTTCTTATGGTTTAAGACTATATTCTCGTATTTTATGTTAGATCCTTGTATTTTTTATGGTTAAGATAAGCAACGATTGAGTGAGACAAATCAAATAGAATATGAGAGATGAGTGGGAGAGCAGCATGTCATCCATTAGATAGATAGTTCTACCAACAATACTTTATAGAATACGGCAATATAGGTCTTAATTATCATCTATCAAAAGAAAAATGATCATTATCCCAGATAGTTAAGCCAGATCCAATCCTAACTTTAGGGAGATTTGATACATTGTCCCCTGCCTCTATAGGCATATCTCCATTCCACAATTGAAATTTATTTGACACCACAGATAAAGTAATGTTCTAGGAGGGATGCTGGAAGATGGGCTTCTTAGTTAGAGCAGAAGGCTTGAGGTAATAGGTGGATCAATGCTCGCTGACTTAACCATGGATCTTCTTCTCTATGACCCAAAGGCCAAAAGATGTATAGAGTGAATCTCTTATCTTAAAGAACTCTACTGCATCTTTATAGACCTAAAAAAGGAGTTGTTTTTATTTTTTTCTATCTTAAACTTGAAGGAAGAATTGGAACCTACCGACGCTCTCTCTTTTCCGCCTTCTTAGATATTTACTTTCTTTCTGTGCTTTATGCTTGTCTACTTCTCTGGATCGTTGTTTAAAGCATTAATTGCCTTCTAACCTTATATATATCATAAATCAAAGGAACACCGCACAAGCATGTTTCATTCACTGTCAGAACCTCAGAATTCCAATTGCATAGTAAGTAATTTGCCTACCTACATACTTAGATTGCAATCTGAAGCAAATTTTACAGCCGACAGATCTTGCTTAAAGGCATTACTTCGGAATTCTTTTTTTTTTTTCCCTCTTTCTCCAAGAAAATCTGAGATAAACAGCTCAATTGTTTGTCTCAGATAGTTACTGGGGAAAGACAAAGAAAACAGAGTAGGAAAAGCTGACGTAGGAAGGAACCAATAAGCAGGATAAGAATTACCAAAGAGAGAAGGGAACAATCATCCGGCATCAGAGAAAAGAGACGATCCGATATATCTTTCTTGAAAAAAAAAAAAAAAGAAGGAATTTCTCTATAGTTATCATCCAGTAAATAGCGTGATACAGCAGTGGCATGAACTATGAAACGCTGAATAAGCTGAAAGGGTCTTAGAACTCAAAATTTAACAGCCATCACCTGCTGTAGAGAGAGCAAGGCTGCTTCACGATAAACTTTAGATTTCTTTGTACATGCAGATGATATTGCATTCATAACAACATTTGGGGTGCCCGGATCACTTGCAGAAATTGCTTCATGGCATGAAGAACATATCGAACCCACTGCCAATAACACGGCATCTTTACCCTGCGATATCGTAGAATAAGTGAACAAAAGCAACTATAGCAAAAGAGATCGAGCAATTATGCCTTTCTACAGAGACTAGGCAGGAAGATTGATCTGATCAAAGCGAAAACAAAATTGATTTGACAGCGTTTTCGCATAGTTTTATCTTTGACTGCTCACATTCTTTTTGATATACATTCCGTTCATAATGGAAGGATGATTTCTCATTAGGAACAAAAGAGTACTACTATTATCACTGTGCGAAAAAGACAGCAGTCCAATTTGGTTCAGAATCAATAATGCATGATCCCATTTATTATGGCCGATGTTGTGCGAAAAAACACAATATCGGTCGTAATTGGATCAGCTTACTGTGGAAGGAACAGCAGGAAATTTAGAAATCCAGCCCAAATCGGTTTGGCATGAGCGGATCCAGCCAAACCAAAGGCTACCTGAACGTGACTATAAATGATGTTTTTTTGGAGAAAAAATGGAGACAAAAAAGACATTCCATCAATCCATTCATGTCTAATGTTCACCTTTCTTGGCACTGATGTGCCCTTTTGAAATTGATCAATGGAGGACAGAGAAAAGACAAGAAAAGAAAAGTAAGAAAATAAGGAAAAGGCCTTCACCAGAAAACAGAGCTACCAACATCGAAATGCTAAAATCCCCAGCACATAAATAGCAAAGAAAATGACGAAGATAGAAAAACCCAGAAATTTAAAAAGAGCAGGTTAAAAGATAGTGTAGATTTTTACCTTAAATGACTTATACAAAATTAGGGAAAATTTTACAACCAAACTTGGCCCTAGTTAAAGTCCTATATTGAGATATCATATAGGTGCAATTAGCGCTCAATGAATACTGACTTCATCAATACAATTAAGCGGATGAAACATGTACATATGGGATAATGACTGACATGGTATTGGGCTTGGCTTTGCAGATTATTTACTCACATTGATCTTAGTTACATAAATTGAGAAATATCTGATATGCATGGATTTGATAACATATTTTGCCATCCATTTGCATTCATATGTATTATAACATGAAAATATGGTTGTTGACAAAAACTTAGAAGTATATTGCTGTAGGTATCTTTTATGATATGATTGACAATGAAAAATAACAGTAGCTTCGGAGATTTTCAACCTCTTATTCCTAATGATTGATATCTTTTTTCAGCAGATTTTCTGACTTTCATCAACTTTCCCTTTTTTTTCATGTTACCGATTATGTTTTTTATTTTCTAAAAAAGACCTTTTAGTGGGTAAGTTGGCCACTTCAGGCTCTTGATCTTTGGAAGACCATTGTTGCCATGGCTTCTGAGGACGCTATAATCTGTTTTTCTTGTTTTTTGTATGCCATGGTTACTTACCACTTAAAATAGATCGTGTGCTTGTGAGCCAAAATGCAATAACATTAAAAAACCAAAAACAATCATATCATATGATGTCAACTGGTTAATACGCACCTCCCACATGCGACCCGGTAGTTCTGCTAAAAGACATTTCAGCAACTCTTGATAGAAAGGAGAAACGGATTTGCGCAATATTTCACTAAGTTTCTTTATTGCCTTCGCTGACTGCAATTAATCACAAATGCATACAAAAGCAGTGAGACAAGTTAGATACTGAGCTATACAGGATCCCTTTAAATGAAATCTAGTCTCTACATAAACTATTTAAGCCTTTATAGCCTTACCTTTCTCTTACTAGCCCATGAAGAAGAGGTGATACAGTTACAGAGAAGTGAGACAATTTCAGCTGAATACAACTGTAGCGTGATGTTTTCACTACCTACAGTTTCATCCCACAACTCTGAAAACTGACTGCTTACATCTTTATCGTCCTCAAATCTGAAAAACAAAATGACCGAGCAAATATGATAGACCATCTCAGATAAGCATTGTAGATAAATGAAGATCAGATAATATTGAAAACATGGGAAAAACGTGTAATTAGGATTAGTTTCTGTCGGTCAGTTCCCTAGTTCGGCAGTTTCTTAGTCCATCACTTTGCTAGTTTGTCAGTTTCCTTAACCTATGTAGTTTCCTTTTTTGTGGCCAAGGTAGTTGTATATATGTAGTAATTTTTCTATGATTTGAGATGCCGAAGAGATTTTTCCCGACTGTTTATCCTTGTATGATTTGCGTCATAGTATCAGAGCCTTACGGCTTGAAATTTTTTATCCGTGATCTTTGTCGTGATTTTCCACGTCAGCGTTAATTGTTCACAATCTCTCTTGATTATCAACTTTTATTGTTGGTTTTCTCAGACTTAAGTACCAACAATCCTTTCAATGCCACAGCTGCCAGTTTTTTCTGCAGATTTCGGAATGTTGTGCATACCATCCTATGCCTTAGATGTCAGATGTTGTAGAAACATTCACTACAACACAATTGGAAGAATTTGTATGGTTTCAACAGTCCAGAGACTTGCAGAATATTCAAGCTTCAGGCTACATGTATGCAGGATGTAAAAAATTGCCCCAAGAGGTCCTAACTTATTCACACAGCACTGAAAGGGAAAGGGAAGGTCAGCCATCTCACAGGTGCAGGCCCGAAACTAAGATATCCTCAATTTGAGGCATGGGATGAGGAAGACTCCATGATTATGGTGTGGTTATGGAGTTCTATGACACCTGAGATTAACCACACATATGTTCTTGGCTACAGCCATGGATATCTGGGATGAAATTCAACATAATTATTGTAAAGCTACAGACAGCTCAATTATATGAAGTTAATGTGAAGACATGCTGCAAAACGGGAAAGCAAAATAGTTACGGAATATGCTAATCAGTTGAAATCTTCGTGGCAAGAACTTAATCATTATAGGTTGATGAAAAAAAAAATGTCCCGAGGATGTAGCAATTCTGAAGGATTTCATTGAGCAAGAGAGAGTTTATGATCTTCTCGCAGGGTTTAATCGAGAATTTGATCTAGTGAGAATTCAGATTATCGACAAACAAGAGGTTCCATTGTATAATAGGTAGTGGCACACTTTTGATTAGAGGAAAACAGAAGAGGCTTGATTCTTGAGCCACAAAGTACGTACAACTTGGCCATAGGGTCTAGAGGTAGCAATAATGCAGCCACAAATGTTAAGAGAGCACATGTTGCTGAGAGTGACCATAAGGATAGCATATGATGCGCTTATTATAAGAAGCCACGTAATACTTATGAATGTTATTGGAAATTCCATGAAAAACCTCAAAGTCAAGGAAAGGGACGGAAAAGAGAGCAATCAAGGAACAATGGTCAAGCAAAACCAAATGAATGAAGCAACACCAAATGAGTCAGATAGTCTCAACAAAGAAGTTGAGGGGGTGAGTTCTTTCATTGGGAATCTTCACAAACTCATAGATTGCTGTTCATTTGGGTATTCAGGTGAGTTTCCGTTCCCTATTGGATAAAAATGTCTCGGGTACAACCTTTGCAACTCCTGAATAATAGATTCAGGAGCTATCCACCATACTAACCATTCATCAAATGTCTTTTTCACATTCTCTCATTGTCCAAGCAGTAGGAAAATAGTCACAACTGATGGATCTTTGACTACTACTGGAGGTGTAGGAAATGCTATAATAAACCCTACACTGACTTTTAAAATTTTTCTTAGGATCCCTAGATTGTCCAGAAATCTTGTATGTCCAAAAACTTATTGCAAAGTAATTTTTCAACATACTCGTGCATTTTATGATAAGAATTTGGTGAAGATGATTGGATATGCTAGAAAATGGGACAAACTCTATTACCTTTCTATCTAATTCATGGTGATATATTGGGTCCTTCCACCATACCTAATATTTCTAAGGCAAGATGGTGTGTGTCTTTTAGTGATGCTTGTACCTGTGTTGCTTGGATTTTTCTGCTCAAATAAATAGAAAACTGATGTTAGTACTGTTCAAACCAATTTTTTGTTCCACAATTAGAAATTGATTCGGGGTCAATGTCAAAAGATTTAGATCATATGATACCAGGGACTGTTTCAATCAAATTCTAACACCATACTTTCAAAAAGAAAAGATTGTCTATGAGTCATCATGTGTCAATGCACCACAACAAAATTGAGTAACAGAAATAAGAAATAGTCATCTTTTTGAGATAACCCAGGTTCCTCTGTTCCAAAATAATGTTTCAAAATCTTTTCTAATAAGGAATAGAAACAAACTATGAATTTGGAGATGGTGTGAGAGAAGAGAAAAACTTGAGGGTTAGTAAAGTTGCCAACAGGAAAGAGACCCATGAGATGTAAATGGGTTTATACAGTAAAGTATCAAACAAATGGATCTATAGAGAGATACAATACTAGGTTGATTGCCAAGGGCTATACTCAGATCTATGAGATCAATTACCTAGAGATGTTTGCTCCAATTGCAAAGATGAATATTACTAGAATCTTGTTGTCATTAGTAGTAATTACGATTGAGAATTATAATAGTTTGATGTTAAAAATGTATTTTGCATAGTAAACTAGATGAAAAAATTTATATGGAGGTCCAACTAGGTTACGGGAATAATTTGACCACTCACACGGTGTGTAAATTAAAGAAAGCCTCACATAGACTAAAGCAATCATCTTAGGCATAATTTGGTAGATTTGCAAGAGTCATGATTGCCATAGAGTACAGATAATGCGAAGGGCATCGCATGCTGTTCATTAAATACTCATCCTATGGGAGTCAAAACACCCTTGACATGTGTTGATGACATAATAATGTGATTGGGAATGAAGATAAAGAGAGAGGCATAATCTGAGTTGGCGCTTAACTAAAGAGTTTAAGATTAAAGTATTAGGGAGATTGGAAGATTTTCTTAGGATTAAAGTAGTTCACTCTAGGCAGGGCTTTTTCATCTCCAAATGTTACATATCATAGAGAAACATGGAAGACCGTGTGCAAACCAGCAAGTACTCTAATATATCTGAATCTTTAACCTGGAATAGTAGAGGGGGATGTAGGAGTAGAGAGGGAAATGGATCAGAGCTTGGCAGGAAGACTTATCTATCTCAGATATGACCATATATCGCATACATAGTGAGTGTGATTAGCCAATTCATGCAAAGTCCACAGAAAGTCAACAAGCAGACAGCTCATAGACTGCTACAGCATCTCAAAGGACAAGAAATGTATTATGTTTAGGAGAAACAAGGAGTTAGTATTTGAGGCATACACAGATGTTGATTATGCAGGGTTAATGTCAGACAAGCTAGGATCTCGTTATTGTAGTGTCTCTCTTCTATTTGGGCCCTTAAGTGAGTCAGTTATGGACTACTTAATCGGCTCTCCCTTTCTTTCTTCAAAATAAGAGGGCTTGACCCACTATAGATGTAACCGGTATTTAAACTAGTGTAGAGGTGAATTGAAGTAAGACTTTTTGTGAATCTACTCTAATGGGATTTTCTAGGCGGCTCCAGTGAGAAGGGAGGGCAAAGACCTGATCAAGAAGATCAAGATCCTAGTTTGACAGTTAGTGATTAATAGGAGATCAACCTTTGGATATTGCACCTTTTTTGGTGGAAATCTCATGATATGGAGAAGAAAGAAACAAAATATGGCAGCACAATCAAGTGCAGAGGCTGAATTCTGTGCAACAGCTCAAGGTCAATTAGAACTACTTTGGTTTGAGATCATCTTAGAAGGCTTGAAGATTAAATGAGAGGATCAAATGAGACTCTATTGTGTCAATAAGTCTCCAATTAGCATAGGTCACAATTCAATACAACACGATTGACAAAATACATTGAGATTGAAAGACATTTCATTAATGAGAAGTTGGAGAGCTGAATGATTTGTACACCAAACGTGTTTACACATGGTCCACTTGCAGATGTACTTAATAAGGGATTAGGCAGTTCAATATTTCAGAATAGTGTATCCAAGCAAGGAATAGAGAATGCCTTTTCACAAGCTTGCAGGGAGTGTGGGAAAAATGTGTAATCAGGAGTTAGTTTCTGTTGGTCAGTTTCCTTAACCGAAGTAGTTCTTTGTGGCTGGGGGAACTGTATATAACTAGCAATTGTTTTATGATTTTGAGAAATATGAGATTTTTATCCACACTGTTTATCCTCGTAGGGTTTGCGTCAATATTTGTAAGTAGTGTTTTCCAGTTCACAGAAGCTGGCCTATCGATTGATATATTGATTTAAGATACAGAATACGAAGACAAGAAAGAGGGTGGCAAGTATATCAAATGTGATGACAAAAAATGACTTATAATTTAATTTTTGGAAAGATTAATTTTTTTCTAATACATTATGAAACGAAACACATTCCTACAGAAGAGAGGAAAACAGCAAACTTATTGGCTATTAATCTTCACAATAAAAACCTGATGAGATTTATTGAAGCCAAATAATTAGACTTCACAATACGATACAGAGATATGGACCATAGTTTTAATCATCATGAAAATAGGCTATACATAAATCGCTCTATGGCTGCTGAAAGTTTTAGTTATGCCAGGGGAAGCTGCTTGATGCAATTGCCAGATTTACGAGTAGAATGTAACTGATGAAAATAATTACATTAAATCAGTTGAAAAACAGTCCACATAAATGGTAGAATCACGAACCTTGCAACAAAAATAACAGGAAGGACCACAGCATGATAGCCACTCAGTACATCAGCTGCAATGTTTAAAAAGTTTTTCAATAGAATTGCACAAGAAAACTGAGCATTTCTGTCACCCAAATGCAAGGTTGTTGTGTCATCTATAATTTTCTGAGTCTGAGAGGCTCCAGCATATTTTAATGTGACGGCACATGCAGCTGCAAAGGCTCGTTTTGCTGCACCACTCTTTTCCTCCAAAACAGCATGAAACAGAGGCTTCAATAACATGGCTGTAAATGGTTTGATATCAGCATTGACCTTTTGGATTAAGAGACTTATGAAATTGGCAACACCAACCCTGAAACATAATGAACCGAAGTAAGTTGGCAAAAATCAACACACATTTGCTGCAACTTGTAAAAGGCCTAGGCTGTGCCAACAGATGCTGATTTTCCTGGATATTGAACTATGTTCAGAACATGTTCGCCAGATGAATTCAACCATACATTGTGATTCTCAGTTTCGGAGTAAGCTAGTAACTGCGAAACAAGCTTGTCATATTTCTTTGACATGCCCATAAATACGACAGGAAATGAAAAAAATATAACTGAAGGGAATTTTGAATTTTTTTTCAAAACTGGAGCGAGTTTCGACGTATTTTATTACAAAATCACTCTCAAGGAGCACAAAAGGCACAAAAGATATTCGTTGAATCTATGATATGAATCAATACTTCTTTTTCTGAAAAAAAATGAGAACAACTTCTGATGAGGAAGTTTCATGAATAGCATTGATGCATAGGCTGCAAGAAAGAACGTGAAATAAAGACCAAGGCTTCCAGGTTATCCCTCTACAGCATCTCGCCTATCCTTTTGGCACATCTGGAAGGGAGGGAGAGTGAGATACATGCTTCCCTGACCTTCTTATTAATTACAGGGTTAGATGGCTGCGATTGACCCGGCTTCAACATTTCTCAATTCCAGGTTTCATACCAGACAATATGACAGTGATATATATACACAGGATATAATACCTTGTTATTCTTGCTGGTACTCTGGTATTCAGCACATGGAGATGTAGGGTAAAAACAAAATTCATTGGTCAGTAAGTAGAATTTAGTTAAGATATTCTTTTGAAAATATAATTCCTTTTACCCTCATTTGAGAGCGTATAGCTTTTAAATTTGGGGCGTTCAAATGAAAGAAAATGACTTTTTACTTATTATTTATGTTACACAGAACAAGTCTTCTATATTAGGCTTTACTTCTATTTTTCTTTCTGTCCTATTATTAGATATATTTTCCCTTTTTCGTGTTCCCATTATTAGACCTTTCTGTAATGCCGGAAAGGTTTATTAGACGCCAATATAAATACTGGCGAACTGCCCTGAGAAGGGCTAAGTCAGGTTTTCCTTTTCCTGCTTCTGCTGTATCTCATGACATGGTATCAGAGCTTTCTCTCTGGTCCTACGTGAACACCGCCGACCGAAGATCAACCAACCTTGGTGGTGACGACGACTCTACGCTGTAGGCAGTGTCACATGGTGATCTTCTTCCTGTCTGCAGTACCTGAAATCGTGAGGTTTCTTGGTTGTAAGCACATCGATGGATTCCTTGGAGAGTCACTACACCATCGTCTTTTCTTGATGGTGGCAGATGTCTATCAATACACCATCATCGTTTCTTGATGGTGGCAGACGTCTGTGAATACACCATCATCGTTTCTTGATGGTGGCAGACGTCTGCGAATACACCATCGTCATTTCGTGATAGTGGCAGACATGCAAATACACCATTGTCGTTTCTTGATGGTGGCAGATGTCTGCGAATACACCATCGTCATTTCGTGATAGTGGCGGACATATGCAAATACACCATTGTCGTTTCTTGATGGTGACTGTCATCCTCAGTTTCTTGAACAGAAACTGTTAGTCATAGCACATCATCTATGTTTGAGATATTTTTTTTTGCTATTTGAACACAACTGTAGAGCATTGAGATAAAGGTCAGTGAATCTTCCTCCTCTGGCTCAGGACATTCATTTGAAGTAATTAAAGTATGTTCAAACCTACCTAAAATTGCTGAGAGATTTTGATATGACAGAATCAATTTGTTCCAATGGACATCGTATGTGGAACTTATTCTATGTGAGAGGAATTTGGATCGTCACCTGACACAATCCTTGCTAAGTATTGATAACTCAAGATATTCTTGGTGGAAAGAAGAAGAAGCACTGATTCAATATTGGATGTTGGACAATATTTCATCAAAGATGAGTGATAGATTCTTTTTTCTAATTTTGTGAAGGAATTATGGGACAAGGTTCGTCGTGTTCACTCTACTAAACATGATGAATCCCAAATGTATAGATTGGTACAGAAATCTCTGACTTTAGTACATAGAACATTGACTGTTCTAGAATATGCTTGTGAATTGGAATCCATATGAAGAGAAATCAATCACTACAGACTAATTAAGAACCCTGATACTGAAGAACGAAATTATATCATGAAAGACAAGCTGTATAAGTTTCTGATGAGGCAAAATCTAAAATATGAAATCAGATCCTTGCTCGGGAAGTAGTACCAAATATTGAAGAGGCAATTGCATTAACCAAACAAGAAGAAAATATTAAAAAATTGAGAAATAATTTAAAGACAGAAAATGCTGCATTCAGCGCTCTCAAGGGTAAAGATACCTCTAGATTTAAAAAGGGGGATGGCAAAGTATCATTTATCATTTAAAAATGGTAAGGAAGATCCATGACAAACCACCGAATTATGGTAAGTTTCATTTGGTTAATGCTCAAAATGAAGATGGTGTTGAGCCCATGATACAAGGAGGAGCTAGTCAAGACGGATTTACTTCCTCTCAGCATTTGGAGATTGAAAAACTCAGAGAAGAAATTAGACAATTGAGGAACATGATCAGCTCCACTTCCCTTGCACATACTAGTAAGCATTTTCCTAAACGTTTCCATTATGTTTAAATACATCATCATTGGCATCACCTTCACCCCAAAAAGTGTCCTAGATCATTGATTTGGAGCTACTGATCATATGAGACTATATGCATCACTATTTACGACATATGAGGTATGTACTAATAATCGGAAGGTTATTATTGCAAGTGGGGATTTATTACCTATAACTAGCATTGGATCACTTCATCTTGAGAAATTGGGGTCATTAAGATATGTTCTTTATGTTCTAAGATTAGGTAAAGACTTGCATTGTTTGATATTATTTGACGACGATTGATGTTTTTTCTATGACAAGACCTCAGGTAAGAGGATTGGGCATGTTAGAGCACGGGATGGACACTACTACATAGGGCGTATGGACAAGACATTGTTGACAAATTCTAGTCCAAACATTTCCACTTTTGCTTCTACTTCCCCCTTGAACAAATTGTTGTTGTTACATTGTCATTTAAGACATTCGTCTATAAAAGTACTTCAATACTTGTTTCCAAAACTATGTCGTGCAATTAGTGAATCTACTTTCATATGTGAACCATGTCAAATGGTTAAACAACGACGAATTTCATTTCCCTCTGCTGAAAATAAAAGTGAATCTTTTTTTTACATAATACATTCTGATATATGGGGTCCTTCATTTGGTTGTGTTAGGGACTTCAGATGGTTTAGTATCTTTGTAGATGACTATACTAGATTCACATGGATTTACCTAATGAAAACAAAATCAGAAGCCAGTAGTGTCTCAGAGGTTTATGAAGTTAATTCAAAATCAGTTCAACATAACCCTTACGATTGGAGACAATGCTAAGGATTTCTTTAATTCTATTGTCTCCAATTTCTTTGCTGAGGAGGTCATTGTTCATGAAACTTCTTGTCCTTATACACCCCAACAAAATGGGGTAGCGGAAAAAAAGATTGGGCAACTATTGGCAATAATAAAGGCTGTCATGTTTAAAGCTCAAGTGCCGAAGTACTTATGAAATAAGACAGTACTAAAGACCACTCATCTTGTTAATTGTCTCCCATCAAAAGCATTATTATTTAAGACCCCCAAAGCCTTATTGCAGGGTCACTTTCCCACTGTACAATATGGACCAGATTTACCTCTTTGAGTATTTGAGAGTGTTGCATACATCCACCAATCTCAGAATGGACTGTCTAAATTTGCCCCTAGAGCTATAAAGGTAGTCTTTGGGGGACTATTCTAATACACAAAAAGGGTACAAATTTTATGACCCAAGATCTGGAAAATTTATTGTGACAATTTATGTCACATTTGATGAAAGTAGCATGTATTTCCAATAGACAACAAAAGTATCTAATTGTGATATTCTTGTGCCAGAAAAACAAGATTTACATGTTGAGATTCTCAAGGAGATTGAAGCTCCTGAAACAATACCAGCACCTCCACCTCCACCAAATCGATTTGGTTGAAATTATTATCAAAGAAAGCCAAAGACAATTAAATGGACCAATGAACAGGATCAACATGATGCACCAGATGCCCATGAATAGGATCTGTATGACGCAGCAGATGCCCATGAATAGGATCTGCCTGACATGATAGATGCCCATGAACAAGATCTGCCTAACACAGCAGATGCCCATGAACAAGGTCTGCCTGATGTAGTAGATGTCCATGATTCTATTATTGAATGTAACAATTCACTGATTGATCAACAGAACCTTCTTATTACTGAGGGAGATGAAATATGTCCTATTGCTCTTCACAAAGGAACTAGAGAATGTACAAAGAAAAAGGTATATCCATCTTGTAATTATGTATCAGATCATTGCCTATCTCCACAATACAGGTCATTTCTGTCAACTATTGATAAACATGATACTCCTCAAAACACTGATAAAGCTTTAAGAAGCCCCCCTATGGAAAAAAGCAATGGATGAGGAGATGCTAGCTCTACAGAAGAATCAAACATGAGAACTCGTGTTGCTTCTTAAGGGAAGAAAACAATAGGTTGTATATGGGTATATACCATTAAGTATAAATCTGATGGAATTGTTGAATGTTGTAAAGCTCAGCTGGTGGAAAAAGGCTTCACTCAAGGTTATGATATTGATTATGTGGAGACCTTTGCTCCAGTTGTGAAGATGGGAACAATTCGGATATTAATATCCTTGGCTGTGCATTATAGATAGTCCTTATTACAATTTGATGTGAAAAATGCATTCTTGCATGAAGAAATTTTAGAAGAAATATATATAGATCATCCACTAAGATACAAAGACTCAAATGATACTTTAAAAGTATGTAGACTTAAGAAGTCATTATATGGCTTAATACACTCACCAAGAGTTTAGTTTGGCCACTTAACCAAAACAATGAAAGCTTTGGGGTTCAAGCAAGCCAATAGAGATCATACCTTATGTTTTAAATGATCAAATTCAGGAAAAATGGTGATCTTACTAGTATATGTCAATGACATGATTGTCACTGGAGATGATATGTAAGAAATCATTTATCTTCAAAAATAATTGACAATTGTTTCTTATATCAAAGTGTTGGGACAACTAAAATACTTCTTGAGAATTGAGGTAGCCTATTATTGTGGAAATTTATTCCTATCTCAAAGAAAGTATATTATAGATTTACTCAAATATATGAGCATGAGTAACTGTAAACCAGCGTGTACACCAATTGAAGCGAAGCATTGTATTGGGGCCTCAAAGGAGAGTGATCAAGTAAAGTGGTCTTATCAACACCTAGTGGAAAAATTAATTTATCTATCTCATACTAGACCAGATATTGATACTCAGTTGGAGTGCTAAGCCAATATATGCATGACCCTATGGAGGTGCATCATCAAACTGCTCAACAAGTCTTAGCCTATCTTAAAGGAACAATTAGTATGAGAATTTTTTTTCAAAGGAGAGATTCTCTTAAATTAGGCATCTATACTGATGCTGATTATGCTGGTTCAATTGATGATAGGTGCTCTACTACTGAGTATTGTTATCTCATTGAAGGAAATTTGGTCACTTGACGAGCCAAAAATAGAGAGTTGTAGCTCAATCAAGTGCTGAAGTGGAATTTAGGGTTATGGCCCTTCGAATTTGTGAAGGCATTTGGATAAAGAGTATACTAAATGACTTACAAATACCCATGGAAGGTTCAATTACCTTGTTCTGTGACAGTCAGTCTACAATAAGTATAGAACATGATCCTGTTAAGTATAACAAGATCAAACACATTGAAGTAGACAAATATTTTATTAAAGAGAAACTTGAATCATGGATGTTTTGCATAGAGAAAGTATGTCTCATCTACAAATCAGTTGGCTGGTATATTAACTAAGGGCATTTCTACAACAGAGTTCTGCAAACAAAGGAGCAAGCTGGACATGAACGATATCCACGCACTAACTTGAGGGGGAGTGTTATGCAGAAGAAGTCTTCTATATTAGGCTTTACTTCTATTTTTATTTTTGTCCTATTATTAGATGTATTTTCCCTTTTTCGTGTTCCCATTATTAGACCTTTCCGTAATACCGAAAAAGTTTATTAGACGCCAATATAAATACTGGCGAACTGCCCTGAGAAAGACTAAGTCAGTTTTTCCTTCTCCTGCTTTTGCTGTATCTCGTGACAATTTACATCCCTCCTTCATTTTCCCTTCTATCCTACATTCAATAAATATTGCAGGTTACTATAAATGAAGGAGTAATAAAGAAAGGAGAACTCTGATATCCTGGAATTTTGTAAAGAAGAAATAATCTTAAACTTTGTGATGTTGAAAGCTAATATTGCAAAAAGACCTAAATGAAATGATGGATTAATGATAACAGTGCAACTTACAACAGAAATGTATGACATGAATAGCATTGTAGCATTGTCTTGAAGAATTCATGTCAAACATTAGCATAACGTATTACCTTGTATTGAGGCCAACTCCAGAGCGAATCAATTGAGCAATGCGGGGAACCAAAAGTTCTAGTGATTTAGTGTCAACAGCTTTTAGGCACAGGTCAAGAGTTTCCCACATGGGGGATTCCTTTGCAACAGAGATTCTTAACGTTTCAAGCTTCTCTGTCTGGATGCCCACATTTGCCGCATGGAACTGATATATTGACAAGCAAAAATAGTTGGTATTAGTTACAGAAGGAATTATAACTCACCATCTACTGATCTTATCTATTTGAAATAAGAGGTAGCTTAAATGTCCTAAAATCAGAGGTATTTGAAGTCAGGATATGAGTTTCTTATGAAAACTGAAATTTTCATCACCGAAAAGTAGCTATAAAGGGAAAAAGGCCATTGGTCCAAACCTCTACATAATTGAGCCTTTGGTCTTCAAGGCTAGACAAACTCTCCAGCATGCAACACACGAGCTCAGGCAGATGTGGCCTAAGTGCAACACCAGCACCCTGCATTTGTAAGTTCACAGCACCTTGGATTTATAAGATGCTAACACCTTTCTACAATAACGAGAAAAATAGGTCGCATTGACTGTAATGTAAAACTCAAAGGCCGTAAGATTAGAAAATTTCTGGACATAGTTTAGTCTAAGAGTCTTAAAGTGCATTCAAATTGAAAAATCTTCATGGTTCAAGGCACAAAACCTTATGAAGGGTTTTGAACACAAATGCCACCTCGATCATGTTTGCATGTTGCCTCACATAAGGACAAGCCCATTAATACACAGCGTTTTGTCTAGTCTTGGATGTTTGAGGGACAATAACATTTTGTTCCTTCTGAGTTCTTAATTATTTCACACTATCTAACAAAGATGTAGTTGAATTGTATACTAACCTTTGAGAGTTTCATGACAATCGCCACTGATGCTTTTTGAATGGACGAAACTTTGCTCACGATCCCATCAACTAATAAAAAGGGCAACACAATATCTATTGTTCTGCTGGTATCTGAGGCTGCTGTTAGGGACGTGTCACATAAACGTATTGTCAGAGAACTGATAGAACGACACAAACTATCGCCAGCATTTCGGACTGTTTCTTTTATGTCATCCATTGCACGGAATGCAGCTATCCATATTTTTTTCAAATGTCCAGATACCTGCATCAAAAAGATATTGAGTGAACGTTCCATCACCAGTCACACTAGCCCAATGGGCATGTCTTCAACAATGAAAAATATTTACAATTCATTCTGAGGGCATAAAACATTATATATATAAATTTTTTACTCAGAATTAGCATCGCAAGAAAAAACATCACCTGATCAAATTTTCGGCCTTGAATGATATCTGCTAAGGCAAGACATGAAGCTTCACGAGATCGCCATAGTCTCGATCCAGATTGCACCAATAAATCCTCAACGATGGGGTCAAAGTATTCATCAATAGTTTTCTTTGGTTCAGCCACAATTGATCTCCAGATGTGTCCCATAGCATCCTAAGAGTTTAACCAATGTTAGGTGTAATAAAGCTCACTATAGTAATCCAAATAGCGAAGAGAAATTTAATCATGAAGCCAGTGGAGATAATTATGGTGAGCAAAGAAATTAAACTCAATGAAACACTCAAATATGCATTCTTCGCACAACTAATAACAAGATAAGTGAAAAATCTAGTAATGTACACGAAAAAGCAAGTCACTAAAAAAAGGGGTAGAGCTTAACCTGGACATTTTTGTCAGGGTCATACTGGTAGCGTACAAGCCTGGGAATCAAGGAACGTAAGTGTGGTTGAAGAACATCACCAGCTTGCTTCGCTATCTTGGAAAATCCAAAGGCAGCACCTCTTCTAGAGTTCAATGAAGACTGATAGTTAGCAAGATCCATAAATTTATAGATTAGGTCTGGCTGCCCCATCTCATTGGCTAAGCTGCAAAGTTCTTTGTATGTGCTAAGTTTTCCACCACTAGGACCTTCACCAATAGTTCCTTCTTGGAAAACTTCAGAGTCCTCCATGAGCTGCATTTCACACATGAAATCAATGAGATCATTTACACGAACACTGAGTACAGACAAGATTCATTCAGACCTTCACAGCTCTTTTTCGTTTTCCTGAACCAGTCAATGTGTTCACTAAAGCATTTATTAGGTCCTTCTTCATTATTGGATCACCAAGTTCATATACAATGCTCATGCCTTGTGATGCCAATTCTTGTGTAAGCTCGTTCTGTTCCCCAAGAAGATGAGAGAATGCTTCCTGCAGAGATAACAAATATTACAAGGCCGATCAACCAACGCTATTATATCTATTTAAAATGAAATCACGTATCACTGCACAAAGATATTATCAACATTCCTGCTTAACATGTGACAATCATAGTGCTCTTTGGATCGTCAAATATTCTTTTCTATGAGTGTACACATACATAATATAAATTGTCATTTCGTTTACCAACAGTAACCTTTGGCGCTCATTTCATTCCTCATGTTTCTGCCACTATGCATCTTGTTACCTAACTCACCCAGTTTTAGAGGACTCTATGCTTCAGGAATCTCGTTGATGAACTCTCTTCATATGTTCCCTCATCAGTTTGAGTGGGAGTGCTAAAATGATATTATATTTCCTTTTGTGATCTCTAACCATTTTCTCTGTATAGCGTTACTACAGGATAGTTTCTACAGTTCTCCTCATTATCTTTATTCGCAACAGTTGAGTTACATACTCAAAAGAATGTGAAGGACCTAAGACAATATTAACGCAAGGATGGGGTTCCCCATGAGTGATTGTTCAGTACAATGGTTCAGATTGACACATAGGATTACTCTGCATACCAAAATATGCTTATCGTAGAATGTTTCAAATACAACATCCCATAGGAATCCTGAATGCCAACAGATGACTGAAAAACTATGCTCACAAACATTGGGACGAGTGAGATGCATCTTTCCTCTCGAAAACGAAAAAAGGAAGCAACATCAACATATGCAGCCCAATTATAGACAAAACTGTAGTTCTGAAAAGCACCTTGCTCCTAAAACAATGACACATCCTTTGAGGATCGAAAGAAGGATGCAACCAAGGATCAGTGCTTAAGAGAAATGTTGTGAGTAGCATGGTAAACGTAAGATTAAGGTAATTGTTCTCACGGTTACTGAAAGGACCAATACTCATTTGTTGTTGGATTTAACAATAATTTGATGACAAAAACTGGTGCCCGAAATTATCATTCCACAGTAACATAACAAATTATCGCCGTGATTCAGAATAATGTTAGATCAATAAGAGATCATTTTATACTTCTGGACTCCCTCATCTCGCAATCAAAGATAATCTAAAACGTAAATCACTAAAATTTCAAAAAATTCTTCAGTCTGGTCAGAGTAATCATAAAGAATGCCCCATAAATCAACTGCTTTCAGATACAACTGTTATTATGCATCTAAAAGCATATTTGTCAACTTACTTCAGCTCAGAACCAATAGAATTAAAATAATTTAGGACCTTGCAAAAACTCTATATGATGTGAAAAGTAACCTTCCATATTTCAACTATTTCCTGGTACGAGTTCAGGAAAAATGACAAACCTGAATTTCAGGAAGAAGCTTCTGGATTTTCGGATGGTGCCCACAATACATAGTAAGTGACAGAAGCCAAACAGTTCCTGCACAGCGTTCTTCCTTTCTACTGCTATAGAGAAGGACATCAAAAAGTTTCTTGATAATCTCTTCTTGAAGCATGTTGCGTGAATCACCACCACTATCACTCTCAAGATGGTGGGAACTAGATGCCGAAAGGGGCACTTCACTGATAAGATAGTTTGAAGTCTGAGAAAGAGAGCCGTAATTTGATTTGAGTATCTTATCAGCTGTCACAGGCACCCCACCCCACATAAATGAAAGCGCTTCACCAGCAGCAAATAGTAGATCTTCAACCTGAGGTCATAAATTTTTTCAAATTTACACTTTTCAGCGAGAAAAAGAAAAAGATGATACATTTCACTAACCAGAAACAACATGGTACTTCGCATCTTGTTACAGATCAGGACTCCACCATTTATTAATCAACGCATCATTTATTAATCTTAAATAAAAGACTTGGCTCACCTTTGTCCTGCAAAGGGTGAAGATCAAATCAAGACCCATTTTCAGATTTGAAAATGTTCTTTCCTTTGTAGAAATATGCCCAAGAGAGATGATAATTTTTTGAATTGATTTAACATCATTTCCAGTAAGTAGCTTGTTCAGCTTTTCAAACAGAATTGCCAGAACTCCTGTATTCAGCATTATAATTATTTAGAACATATTTTGCCAAAGCAAAAGAAGGTTTACAATTAGTGGCACGAATCATCTACTTCCCATAAACAACAAGAAAAATATACCTTCAGTAGAATTACGAGTAACTGAAGAGAGTGAACAACGTAAACCAATGTGACCAAGTGCTTCCATTGCGGTGCAAGCCAATATTAGATCCTCTGACTCTACAATGTCTAGCAAACAGTCAACAGTACTCTGAAGCAATGTCTCTGACCTCTGAAAGGGTAAAGGTCGAATTGACGTTTGAGTAAAAAAATGCGCATAAATTGCTGATAGCATGTGATGATAAAAGTTAGTACGAAATACCAGTCCGTCTTGGGGAAAGAGGCGAAAATATAGTATTTTCTTTTACAAGTAAAAATTATCTTGTATGTACCGTTAAATCAAGATATTAATCTTGATTTAACATCATAATAGAAATAAAATATAATAACCATTATAGATATATCAAGACAAGAATTAGAAGAATCACTTTCATGCAAAATACAGGACAACCAATTTCCAGTTACACAATATCCAGAAACAAAAGAGGCCCACAAAGGGATCATCATAGATGGATACTATCTTTAAATAAAAATAACAATGCAAGATAAAAACAAAGAGAAATCAAACCCATTGAGGTCTTGCTACCTTCAAGAACCTAATTTCCTAAGAGGTCTAAATACCGGAAAGGAATTCCCAATCTACAACCCTGCAATTGAGCGATGAATTCTACTGTTTCCTCTTGGTTATGGATTGCTAAAAAATTCTGACATGGCACAGATTATTTTCAGCCCTGTCATCACCTCAAGAAGTTTCAGGATTACAATTGTTTTTTAAAGAATACTTTTTCATCAATTCTTTTTGACAAACAGAACCAGATGCGTGAACGAGAGCCAGACATACTTGACAAAAGCATGACACACAAAAATCATGCGAACAATTGTATAAGAAAATTACATAACATGGTCAACTGAGATGAAGACAGGATGACAGTTGTCAATCCCAAACTTATCACATCAATTTGCGAAATGAGCATTAAGTACTAGGCAATAACAAAAGGCATGCGAGGATGCTCTAAGAGAGATTGAATAATACGCATATAAAATATGGACAAGAAAAACAAAAAAGGAACGAAAACAAGAAAGAGCAGGCAAAAAATATCACTGGTTCTAATAAAAAGATGAACCACTTTTTGTATTTTTCCTCTATGATGTTCGTAATTCATCACAAGTGCCCAAGTCACAAAAGTCACTAGCTAACGTCTTCAAGATGCCTTCTAGCTACAACATAAGTACTATGAGAATAGTAAATCCAATATTTTCAGTTTCCAACGAATATCCAAGAAAAATATTCATCATATTCTTCCATTGGCTCACATTTTAAGGAACAGCTCAAATTAAGTGATTAGACATGAGCTACACCACTCGTTGCCCATTGATTTTAGGTTGTTTTGTATTGTTTCAGAGAAGTTTTCTCTCTTGAGTGCAAGGATCTCGTAAGGTTAGTAATGTAATACTGATTAAACTCTGACATTGAAAGAATAAATTAATTATCTTTCTCTATCTCAAGTCAAATAGACTTACATTAATTTTTGCTCTGATATCAGAAGATCTTAACGATATGACAGCCCCTGCTTGATGTGTTATTAATGAAATTATTGGATTATACTTTCTGCTGATTTCAAAATCAAGTATCGTGCTCCCAATACAGCATTTTTTGTAACATGATTGTCATGCATTATGAAGAGGAGCCCATTGAGTCTTTGATGCACGCCCCTCATGTTACTTTTTTTGACAAGTTCAGGTTTAGATTAGAAGTAGCTTTAAGTTCACAAGCAGAAATAATTGAGACATGCAGGTTTTACTTGAATTTAGATCATTTCAGTAGTTGAACCCTATTCCTTCCAGATTTTCCTTGCATGAGCAGGTAAATATTGAAATGGCTAAAACTTGAGATATTCATTCAGGAGAATGCAACTAAATGGTAAACATAAGCAAATGCAATAAATAATTACACTGCACAAGACATTATCACGAGGAGAAAAGAAAAGCATCCATCATGGTCAAGGCAGAAATGGTGCATATTTTCCATTTCTAGGAGGAAAAAAAAAACTTACATCAGGTTTCTCATTCACACACTCTGCAATCACATACCCTAAAGCACATATTGCTCCTTGACGGTATTCATATCTAGGGAAAATTTCAAGCATTCATAAGATGTTAGACAGATAGGTAGATAGACAGAAAGATAGATGGAACTATAGCGAGAGCGAGAGAGAGAGAGAGAGAGAATAGAGAGAGAGAGAGAGTTTTCATAAACTGCATACAAACCTTACTGAACCACGAACGGATAATAAAAAATCACCAACTAGATTAGACACCACATCAATTGGAACAATAGAACAAGTTATTCCCAACAATCGAGATGCAGATTCCCGTGTCTCATGGTCAACATGCCCCACTAATTGTTTTAACCATGAAATGCGCTCAGCATATCGTGATGCCACCAACTACAATAAATAATAAAACGTGTAAACCAACTCAAATTAAATAGAAGTTCTTGAAATAAAATACAACGAAAAAACCATGTTTCAAATGGAAAATTTGAGATAAGCTACCTGTGGGAAATGAGAACCAATTGTAACTAATGCCTTAGAAGCATTTGCATGCAACTCAACAGAACCCTCAAATGCCATGGCGTGCTCTAGTAGTAAACACAACGTCATCACTGGGGGTGGGAACTCATATGTCTTTCTAGAATCCTCTTGGCCAAAATCTGCCAAGAAACATTTCATTAAAAAACCAATCATTGCCATGTACGTCCTTGATGGAAAAATAAGTTTCTCTGCCCTCATTTCTTCAGACTCGAGCAATCTTGGCTGTTGTTTACATATATGGTCCAGCATATCCCTCAACGCTGGATAGTCACAACTAACCCTTTCCCCTTGGTCCTTGAGTGAAAGACCTTCCATTGCCATTTCCCTGGAAACGAAAAAAAGTGAGTAAATAGAAAATTGTGCATAATACGAAATCATCCAACATTCTTCGAATTTGATCAAGTGATGAAAGCTAGAAGCATAACGGCACTCTGTATTGGTTACTGAAATAAAGCACTGTTCCTATGAAGAAAAATCTTCGAGTGTAGAAAGCTTTAGTACAGAAATATACGAAAGGCAGTCAATGGACATGATACAGAAATATGCCTTTTTTTAAGGCAGACTAGCTTAGCTTCAAGGTGTGAATTTGATATGGAACTCAGCTCATGAAAAATGGCTATACACGACTTTGATAATTCCCCAGGCAAAGATTATGGGCATTTTCATATTTCCGATTTAAAAGTAGAATTATTCAAAAGGGGACTTTTTTATCTTATACATAATTATACATGCTTCAAAATACCATAGTTATATGGCCCTCCATGGAGATGTGGAACATCGACAATTTAAAGCAATTTTTAGTATAGTTTTTAGTTTCCACAAAATTCAGTATACCTTTGAACCATTGAATTATGGACATCATTTGAAGGTCCTTCAAAATACTTCATCCTTGGTTTGAAGTCCCTAGGCTGATAATTATTGGATTTACATGAATAAAAGGTCACTCTTATTAAAGGGTAACCCGAATCAGAATTTTTTTACAGGAAAACCTTAATGCCACTCATTGTATCTTTCCTCGTGAAGAACCTTCTTCTCCTTCAACTCCAAGGGAATGCTCCCTTCAAAGGGCCCAGGCCAGCATTTTCAAATCCTAGCCTAGGCTTTGCAGTATTTTATGATGCCAAGGAGCAGCCCAATCGATCCACTATATGTTCAACAGTTATTGCCGAAGAGAAGAGGGTGGGCTGGACAGGGAGAGAAATCTAACAAATTAGTAAAGCTGAAACTTATTATATATTTGCAAACTTACCCAGGCCTGGGGAAAAGACAATGGAGGTCAAGGCGTCTATGAAGTCTGAGATTGACTCAGAAAGCACTGGCCCAGCATCTGTATGTTTGAAAGGTAATTAACAGTAATTTTTGATTGACAGGTTTAACAGTGCCCCTCTCTTTGCTACTGTTTTGGATGAGATTTCGGCAATTCTTAATAGTTCAATGGAATTAACGACGCGTTCAAGGCATATTCCAGTCCTGCCCATCCACTCAAGTGGCAACCTAATTGGGGGACTCATCCCAATTGAGGTAGTTTGCAGATATCTCCATAAAGCATTAAAATCAACAGAAACTTATTCATACTCAAGAATCTCGTAGAACTGAAAAAAACCTTGATGAAAATTGTAGAAAGTCAACATATTTAGAAGAATCCAAGCTGGTTAAGTCATTGTGAGATTAAGATCATAAAAAGGTATGTTGTTGTGACAGAAGAAGATAGAATCAGACATCTACAAGTATGACATTATATTTCCTCGGTCAAAAGGCTCACTGGGACCTGCATTGATATAATCTAGAAAATGATTAAAAACTCGCGAATCAAAGGGCTAACTGATCAAGGAGCAACGTTAACCAGGAAATGGTATGGGGCCATATTCAGAAGGAGAAAGATACAGAGCATTGGCACTCCCCGGTGAGTACCATTTGAACACACCATGATATCAAGGGTAGAGTAAGCCAGGGACCTATCATGGCAACGTTCGTTTGAAGAATCTTAGCTCTTAGCTTCGGAACGTCATATCAAAAGAGTCCAGCCAACGACATTCTAACTGAACAATTGGCATTTATAGCATTTTGAAAAGAAAGTTTGAGTAAAACATGTACAAAAGAAACAAGAAAATCAACACAAGACATGCATCCAAGCGTCCACATCTAGTTCAAATCAACGGAATAAATAATAGAATTCAGGACAAGTAAATAACTGAAGTACAAAGTAAAAATGAAGACCTTATATCCATCTTAGAATCTGCTACTGCAAGCATACAAATATAGCGGGTTGGACAATGCTGTAAATTGAATAACGATGTTGCCCACCGCACTGCACAAAACCGCACCTCACCTTGATCCTTGATGACAAAGGATGAAAATGATTTGTGAAGGTTACTTTGGAATGAAAACAAAGTCAGCAGGAAATGTTGTACACTAGCGACCGCTAATACTAATACACATAATGGATCATGCCTCATCCAACTACATATGATTGCTGGTGCCATGATACCAAAGTTGGCATCAATCAAGTAATAGAAAAAATATCTTCATATCCAACAAGCAAAAGGAACAAATGAAGATCATCATTCAAATTAACAGTATTTTTAATATAATAAACACGTCCCTCTGGATACCTCCGACAACTATTACTTCAATAGAAAACTTAGCTTGCATGCACGTTATAAATGCAAGAGAAGCTCAACATGACAATAATCTATTTTGTAATGTTTAATAAAAAAATGCTGATCTATAATGCCTGAATCTCGCTGCTGTCATCAAAGCCATTATCGAAACAGAGCTATTCCCGTTAGCCAAAAAATAAATATGCCTGTCAAATAATAGGTTATGACAAATTGAAGATGAACATAGCATATAGATAAAACTTGTCCTTGAAGCCTGAAACCTGCTCTAAATTAAACTGAACTGCAATAAAATGGCTATGAACAACCTAAAGAGATTCAGACGAAGTCACTCTTACCACTTGGCAATTTTCGAATAGAAGTGTTTCCACTTCGTTTAGAACAGCTGAAGATGCGCCCTAATTGAATATGAAAAACTTTATATAAATTTTCATATCCAATGTAGCAGAATGACATAAAGAAATATGGAAATAACTCTAAATAAATCCCAAAGAACTTAAAAACAAAGATGTTGCATTGGTGGAATATGAATAAAAGCTTATTGCATATAGAAATCTCAAATTAAAAAAGCCTAATGACTTGAAGTTACCAGACACTGCATCTCTTTTGCAAGCAGACAAGCTTAATGTCATGGCTTTACATCAAGTAGTTTCTATACATTTAGGCAAAATAAATCCAATCCACTGGTTAAGAAAAAAATTCGTTTATAAAATAGATTCCTTCATTTAATATCTATCGTCAATACACACAACCGTCTTGATGACTGAAATGGCAAAACTTTCAAAGAGAAAGAAACTTCACTATACAGCCCTGGAGATTCCCCAGCCCTGGACCAAAGGCTACGGGAAGGTAAGAATGACCAGGGACAATAATCCTGTGGACTTGGTTGTCGATAATGAGATACAGAAGGATATTTTCTGGAACTAAACTAAACAAATTAACACAAACCTCAACAGTAAATTAAAAATCAAGCTGCATCACCTGACTCGTCAGTTTTAGCTTTGAGGAAAGATGATCTCTACTACTGTTACAATGTTGACTATCAACTGGATCTGTCGTCCCTCATTGGTGAACCCTAACCCTTCACCTAAAATGAAGTAGATGAGGTGTTTTACTTGTGAAGCCACTGGGTGGGGAACTGGGGTAAAATAGATCACATCATGGTATCAGAACGTCCCAGGTGCATTGCTCCAACGGATCTCATTTTCTTGGGGTGTTTTCGCGGGTTTACATTATACTCGACTTGTTTATGATCATGTGTGGATTAAATTTGAGTTTTTTTGTTCCCCGAGAGAGTGTGAGGGATCTTTCTCAAAATTTTTTTGTTGACAATCAACATCATGCTTGTCATTAAAGCAAGATTTGATCCTGCTTTGAGAAGATTCTGGTATGTAATCATCTCCTTCTCTAGAGTGATGGGAGAAAGTTCTGTTGTGGCTGCTAGGAGAAAACACCTTGATATCTGACATATTTCTTTGATGTGGTCTCTTCTTTGCTGAGTATCAGAGGAGGGAGTGCAACTTAAACTGTTTAGGGAAGGGAATCTTGTCTAAATCTCAGTGGATGTCATAAATTCTTAAAATGACTCCTACTTCAGTCAATTCCATAGCTGAGTACTATTTCTCCAAGTCCTCTCTTGAATTACCTAGCTGCTCATATTCCTACAAAAGTATTAGCCTTTCAAAGCCTATTAGAAGTCTTATCATCATTTTATATTAATGTGAAACTCAAAAAATAATGTGACTCTGATAATATTTGGGTGTGTTTCATTCATACACATTATAATTCCAATATAAGGATACAAGTGCTTTCATCTTTCTTCAGAATAAATTCTTTGTTACATGGATGTCACCTTCATGAAAGTGAATCCTATTACCTAGACAACTCTTCAAAATCACCAAAATGCGACCCTATTGTTACCAATTGTGACTCCAAATTCTTACTTCCTACTCCGAAAGGTGATGCCTTTCCTGTTGTTGATTATACTAACGAGGGTGGGAGATTTGGGAGAGTTTATACTAAGAGAGGATTAGAAACCTCAACACCTGAGCAAGTCTCTGACTCTAAACTGATATCTACAGAGGACAGACCTACATAAGAAACCCAACCCAACTTACTTGACTTGCCTACTGCCCTTCAGAAAGATACTAGAAAATGCACTTAGACACCTTTATATCAAATATTCAGTCTTCTGACCGATTATCCCCAGCCTACAAGACCTTCATCACTGGATTGAATTCCATCACTATTCCATCAACAATTGTAGAAGTATTAACCCAAGAGAAATGGAAGCAAGGCATACATGGAGAGATGTTGGCTTCAGAAAAGAATCACATATGGGAAAAAGGAAACACTCAAAAATTAATTATTAGGAGAACTTTGCTCCGGTAGCAAAGATGAACTCGGTTAGAATTTTAATATCATTAGTGGGACATTATGGATTGAATCTTCAATAATTTGATGTAAAAAATGCCTTCGTACATGGAAACTTGGAAAAGGAGATTTATATGGGCATTCAATCAGGATACATGTGGGAGTCCAATACTAAAATAAAATGCAGACCGAAGAAGGCTTTATATGATCTAAAGCAATTACTTAGGGCGTGGTTTGAGAGATTGGGATATGGCTTCTATGAATTATAAACAGAGCAATAGAGAAAATATGCTCTTGATCAAATATCCTCATGGGCATTACATATATTACTTGGGTACGTTGAAGATATTATCTTGATAGAGAATAATAAGGAAAAATTATAAGCACTAACAATGTATCTATCGGAGTTTGATATCAGGATTCTAGGTAAATTGAGGTACTTTCTTGGCATTGAGGTTATTCCAAGACAAGCATTCATCTCACAACACAAGTGCATTATAGATCTCTTCAATAAAACAAAAACATCAGCATGCAAACTTGTAGACACACCGATTGATCCCAATCATAAATTGGGTCATACCAAAGGGGATGAGGTACTTAACAAGGACACATATCAAAGGTTAGTGGGTAAATTTATTTAGCCCATACCTGACCAGATATTGCTTATGTAGTATGGGGTGTTTAGTCAGTTTATGCTACATTCTAAGAGAGTTTATCAACAAGCAGCTAAAATGGTCCTTCATTCTCTTAAAGGGATTGCTAGACGAGGTATCCTATATAACAAATGCAGATTATACAGGGTACATTGTTAACTAGAGGTCCACATCTGGGTATTGTACTTTCATAGGAGGAAATCTCATCACCTAGTGGAGTAGAAATAGTCAGTGATGGCAATGTCAAGTATAAAATCTGAATCTAGAGCTATTGGTTAAGGTATTCATGTGATCCTATTGGTGAGGACCTAAAAATTCAGTGGGCATACACTATTCGACTATATTATGACAACAAATCAGTGATCAGCATTGCACCTAACCCGATTCAGCATGTTCGAACTAAACATATATAGACCATCACTTCATCAAGGGGAAGCTTGATAGAGGTTTAATTTGTACACTAATATATTTCAACCACTAGTCAGCAAATAGATACTCACACCAAAGGGCTGGACAAGCCTGTTCAAGATCTTGTCTACAAGCTGGAATGGATGATATCTACTCATCAACTTGAGGGGACATGTTAGAAGATATAGTTTTTATTTGTCTCCTTATTTCATTGTATTACAATTTTACTCACTTCTATCTTTTATTGTAGTTCTATTCTTTCCTTTACCCACTAACTGGATCCATCCTCTCTCTCATGTACTTCAGCCTAACCCTTCACCTGAATGAAGGAGATTATTTCATTTCGTGGTTATCTCTTATGGAGCCACCAGACAGTGAACTAGGACAAGATGGATCACATCATGAGCAATAAAAGTACAATCTATGCTGTTAAGACAACTGAAGGGAAAGAGACAACAAAGAAGACTTTTTGCATTCTACTGTACCAAAAACATAATCCCATAAGGTCTATACTCAGGGTTCAATGTAAGCTAATCACTTGAATGACAGAAACGAAATGACAAGAACATTAAATGTACGAATTCATCACCACAAACACCACTGAACACGATGTATAATTGGAGAAGAAAAAGAATGACACCAGAAGAAAGGAATATAAAAATAACTTGCTAACGATACAAATTTAATCTTGTACAAGGTGAAAGCCAAAAAAAATGCAAATGCTGCCAAAAAAAAGTAGCAAACTTTTCAGAGCACAGAGTAGTTGGAAAACCTTCGTGGACGTAGGGTACCAAACTATATTAAATTGAGATATACCTTGTAGGCCATTGCAAGGGAGTTGGTTGCCTCTTGGATGGTGAGGCGAAGAGATTGATCCTCCAGCTTCAATGCATTGAAAAGTCGAAGAGCCACATCAATTTTATCTCTAGAACATAGACAACCCATGGTTTTCTCGTATGAGGGAACAATGAACACTTAGAAAGTATACTGAATAAAGGTGTAACATGTGGGGAAACATACCTGAAAAGCTGTGGCATTCTATTTGCTAGTAAACCAATGGCTTGGAATGCAAACGATCTAACGTCTCTTGAGAGAAGTTCTGATGGACATGAACAAGAGTGAACAAAAAACGCTCCATGATTCTTTGAAACATAATTTTAAAAAGCTCTTGAACGTTAATTGAACAAAACCTACTATAAGAGAAAGACATAGTATCAAAAAGAGGTAGTAAAATAGAACATATTTTGTTCAGATCTAGAGATATTCAAGGACTTTTAACCATGTTTACAAGCCAGTAAGCATGTCTGATACTGGGAGGCAACTAACCCATCTGTTTATCAAATCTCTAAGACACTACTACTATTGAATTGTAAGACTTAAACAACACCATTCAATTTGCGGCAACACCCATTGCCCATATCCAGAACAAACGAACTACTACGCTATCATTAATATATATTGTGTTATCTTGATAAAAGACATAATAAAGTATCAAAAATGAGGTATAGTTACGCAAGCACCACCTAGTCAAGGAGTGACATTATGAAGAGTGATATGGAAGTGGTTTTCAGGATTGTTCATAACGAACACATGAAACTAGAGACAAACAATTTTATTGCTTTATCAGTAATTACTACCACCCTTCACAAGGGCAGACCTGGTTCAGTGTTCGAGTAGCCATCAAGGGATCTCAGTATCCCACTTAAAATAACAGGGCCCATGAGCTTCAACTGATCCATCACAGCCTGGATGAAAAAAATTACAACACAATAATCAGTGGAGTTAAACCTTCAGTTGCTGAAGATATAAAACTATCAAAAGGTTATTTCTCAAAGGAGGTAACCGGAATGAATTTATTGATATACTATAAGATGGACCAATCAAACACAAAAACAAGGAAAGAATACATTCATGGTGCAATGAAGAAAACTTTTCATCTTCTTTCAGTTAACATACACTCTGTTGACTGAAAAATAAGCTTCTCTTTTCCCCTTTATTCATTTTCTTCTTTCACTGCTGCACTACGGTTCTCTCCTTTCCAACTCCCTCTTCCTCGTGGATTCTCCAACTGTAAAAAAAGACCAGTAAAAATCCCGACCCAACCAAGCATGTCAACTGGACGAGACCTGGCCTGGCTTTCTCAACCTATCTGCATCTCATAGAGCTCTCTGACTCTCTATTACCTCCCTACCCATCCCATCCATCACTTACTAATGAGAAACAATGCTTCCTTACAAATAGACCAATGCATTCCACAAAAGAATGAGGGTATAAATATTTTTACAATGATAGCATAACTTGTTGGACATTTGGTACTCGGCAAATGGAAAGTGCCACATATTCAGCATCAAGAAGAACGGGAATCTAACACTGGCAAATGCGTGTTTCCCAAGAATATGAACAAAATCATCTATATGACGGATATGACCAAACACCATAACATTCAGCAGAATAAGTTGCTTTCCAAAAGGAATCTTGGTCGATTGATAATAGATGCACAATAACAAGTGAATGCCAAATGTCTATTCAAAATACCAATTCTTACATGTTTGAATACCCATACAGTAAATTCCATTCCCAGCTGCTTCAACCTCGAAGTGGTTGCACTACCTAAATTTGAAAGATTGGAACTATGAAAATTACATCTAAACCAGATTTCTGGTTAGGCAAAGTAAGAAAGGTGGCGTCCTTCCCAGAATAAAGCTGAAAAACAGATGAGAGATAGATAAGAAACAACCAACATGCGTGCAAAGAAGCAACACAACAGCAAAAAAAAAATTAATACCGATATGAGGTTCCAAAATTTTGAATTCTAGAGATTGACAACCAGATCAATCATTATATTGAACTTTTTTTTTCTATAAAATCGTACAAATATCGTACAAGGTGGTTGATATGACTTATGATGGTAAAAGCATAAAACATAGAAAACGTACAGCAGCACATTACAAACCCCCCACAAAGGACACTTTAAAAGGCAGTATAACTGAGTTAAAAATGTTGTCAATAGGAAGAAAAACTAAGTAGAGATAGAGGATTTTTTCCCACGTCCCAAGATGTCTTGAAATAGCCATAAGGTTTGCCATTGATGAAATTGAATTGATCAACCAATCAATCCCCACTTGACTGGATCCAATTAAAAAGAAAGGTCAGTACTCAATTCCATATAATTACATTACGTGCTTCCTCAAAATCAAGGTTAACTAAAACAGATAATGCCCCTTGTTTTCTGATATTGGATGGCCTCAATAGCAGCCATAAAGCTGTCAGGTATCTCCCTTCAATAAATCTTGAAGATTTCTGTCAAGTACCAGATTCATCAAACTAATCAATTTATTTGCTTGAACCGTAGTGTATTTAGCAGTAAAAACTTAGCAAACTAGTAGGCCTCAAAATAGAATTGAAGAGGTCATAGTTACTATTCTGGAAACTACATACTCAATCATCCTTGTCACACAATCCTCAACAAAAGTTACTTCAATGATAAACATCATCACCACAGTCATCTTCCTCAAATATCAAGCTTGGTGACTTAAAAAATCAATTCCCAGAGAATTCTAAGGTTTCCCTGTTCGGTCCAACGATGATCCAGACCATTATTGCTCGCTTATATATGAAACACAATATACTACTCAGACATTAACCAGGACATGCATCAACGGTACTTGGAACTAGCAATGGCTTATCCAATTTGGGGGTCAGGGTTTGGGGCATGTATCAAAAAATTTCAGGGCTTAATCAACTGATGAAATGAGTGAAAAGAAACCAGAAGGGTCAGTCCGATCAACCAATTCTTGGCCAATCCGACCTGCTCTGGTTGGCCCTAAGCTGGGTAGTTTACCTTTAAATCACATGTGATTTCTCGTATGCATCATTTTTTTACTTGTGGCCTGCTAGTTTCAAACAGGAATTTGACCACAATTGTGAATGAATGCATAGGACATTCGCATCATTATTTCATTTAGCTAGAAAATGTAGTAGGAGTTTTTACTGGACTTCAAAGCTCCAAGCCAACCCAATTTGGGGGTCAGATAAAGGTGGAAATAATGTTTTCTTTTTAACTGACTCTATGAGGGGTTTGAACTTCTTGGCTTGCATGATAACTCTTGTGTATGTTCTTTTTGGACACAATGCTTATTATTCTCGATTTTATTCCATTAGATTCTAGTCAACCTGAAAATGGTTTTTTTTGGAGACAATACTTATTATTCTCGAATTTACTCCATTAGATTCTAGTCAACCTGCAATTTATTCCATTTGTCAAGCATAGTTGAATTATTGTGGGGGGTTAGTTAACAAATGGATTTGACATCTCGAGGAGTAAACTCTAAGATGATACCAGAGTGAATGAGTGGTCCTCAAGGTTGTATCAGGTGACTGGATTGGGTAGTTTTGGACTAGTTCATGTTGATATTTGAATCAATTTAGAAAACCATATGAACTGGACCAAATATTTGAATCAATATAGATATTTGAACTAGTTCATCCAGTTTGTCTAAATTGATTCAAGTATCTAACTGAACTGAACCAAAACTACCCAATCAAGTCACCTAGCACAACCCTGAGGACCACCCATTCACTTTGGTATCCATCTTGGAGTTTACTCCTCAAGATGTCAAATCCATTTGTTAACCCCCCACACTAATTCAGGTATGCTTGACAAATGAAATAAATTGTAGCTTGGCAATAATACAATGAAGTACATTCGAGAACAATAAAAATAATAAGTATTGTATCCTAAAAAAAAAATGCATGAGTTCTCATGCAAGCCAATTTAACAAGAAATCATTATTTCCACCTTTGTCTTGCACTCATCATCATCATTAAGCCAGTTTGGATTGCCTCAGAGCTTGAAAGTCTAGTAAAAACCCCTACTACATTTCCTACCTAAATGGAATAATGAGCAAAAGTCCTATCCATGAACCAAAATCTAACAAAGATTACTTTATGCATCATTCACAATTGTGGTAAAATTCATGTTTGGAACTAGCAGGCCACAAGTGAAAAAAATGAGACATAAGATATAAAGATAAAAAATCCAATAATGATAATAAACAAAAAAATATATATAAAAAAGCTAGGGTCAGATAGAATGTGGCAAGGACAAAAAATAATACTATAATAATCCGCAGAGAAATGAGCATGCATACATATGTCAATCATGCATTAAAAACATACACAGAAACATCATCCAATAATTTTTGGCATCTTGGAGGAAATGTAAAAGTTTGTTAGTATTATACTACAATCCAGAACATACATCAACGAATGTACTTATTGCAAAAGAAAAATTCAATAATTTTTAGATTAATTATGATTGATTGATTGAAAATGTCAAGGTGAAACCAGAAAGAAGGTTCACACAAAATGACACTGGTACTTCATGAAGAATTATATGACCCCCTACTTTGCCAATAATGAAACGAAATAGAAGATTGAATTTTCTTTCTTTTATCATTACATAGATGGTCGAAGACAAAAACTCAGGAAAGGGGCGTAAATATTGAGACAAATAGTTAGTGTTGAATTTTTTTTTTGATTTTAATGATAAGAAAACTATAATCACTATAATAAGTTGTATTGGTTTTCTGCAGGAGTTTTAGGGAGAGAAACGTAGGCTTTACCAGATCAAAAATGTCTAAATGATGAAATCAATATAATACATTAGACCCTTTGAAATTATAGACAAGTTCATACAGAAATTATGCTACTATGTGTAATAAAATGCAATCTTGAATAGAAACATTGACCAAATCGGTGAAGGTGCTGATAGAGTAGTTGGCAACTTGATTCCAACGTAAAAACTCAGACACACAATCAACCTAAGTATTGACCTTGCAAGTAGCCATTGCCCAAGATTTCAACACCTAACAGACATCCATTGGCATTCATCACATAAGAATTCAATAACAGAAATAGAATTCAGATAGATTTCCAAACTATGTTTAGAGCTGAAAAAAGAGATTTCTAAACCATGTCAAGCTTTTCACCAAGGATTTTAAATAACCTAGTATGAATGAGAAACATCAAGAAAACCAATATATCGATTGTCTAAAAGATTCATGACTCTTCTCAAGTGCTGGGTGAATCAGAAGTCCTTTTGACGTAGCTAAGCACGTCTTATTGATGGATCCTAATCATTGGAATGTAATTGCTACATTTTTTTATTTTCTCTCATCCTTTCTGAAGTAAAAGTAAACTTGTTGTGAAGCAGACCTTGTCTTGTTAAGAGAAGCTCAACCACGAAACAAATGTCATAACATGACATATTCGCAAGTGTTCATCAACTTGAGAAGTGCAACTAGAGGAAGTTAAATAAAACACATCCATAAAATGCAAGCATGGGATTTCAATCCTCCACAGTAGTCTTTGGAGATAATACTCAAAAACCACTTTAGTGTAGATCAGAGACTGGAAATCGCATAATAGAAAAAAATATTATTATTGACGCACCACACATTTTAAACTTTGGAGTGTTCTAATCAAATAAAAAACGAACCATAGATACAGCCAAAGATACACTGCAATGTAGATGGAAATGTGTTTGCTGCAGCGACAGATCGGCAAAATATAGACATAAGCCGTGTCCTCAATGTAGGGCTACCAGGGGTGACTTTGAGTTCATTAGGAACATTTTCAACTCCAGCAGAGCCTGAACAAAGATATATACATTAAGTCATTTTCATATCAAAACAATGTTCATATTTTTCTATATGAAACAAGTTAATATAACAGGGTCAAAAAGTTTCCTACGTGGATGAAAAAAGATAAGATGACCAAAGCTCCTTTGCTAAATACAACACTGATTTGATTTAATGCCTAGCATTGCATATGGCTCAGGAACATTGTGGAACAGTGCAAGTGATTATGGATAATACAAAGTGTGCATCCATATCTTTCCCAACTGATTTCCAATTGAAAGTCTTGAATGCAAAAGCAAGCATATACAGAATTCCCATAGGCGGGATCAGTCTATTTGTTGAAGAGATTTCTCTAGTAGACAAATTTGGTAACCTAGACTGACATGGAGAAGAGAGAGGCCAGAAGAGGTCGTGTACCAGGTGTATGGAAGTATAAACAGGAAGAAGGTAGGAGTCAAGGAGGCAGATTCAATGATAAAAATGCCCACCAAATCTAATCCCAATGATTGGACCGTGGTGAAAACAAATAATGGGAGATCCTTGTTAGGGACACCTCCGAAACTCTCTCTCCAAGTGGCCTCCGTTAATTTTAAGAAAAAGCAATGTCCAAGGTATTTGGAAATGGCCACAGTGCTAGGTAGTGTATGAATGTGATAAAGTTATACAAGATGCGGAGACATTGGTCACTGAAGACAGTTGACATGAGCGAGAAAAAAACAGAACCTTTCAGGGGGCCACCTGTCCAAGTCCAACTCCTTTGGCATCAATGATGACTGGTCATCAAAGATGAAATCTAGCAAAGTCAGAGCGTTCGAAAATTATACACACTTCAAAGACACGAGTAGAATCAGAAGATCTTAACAATTTCTACAGAAGAGTTTTAGGAAATATGACAGACTAACTGGTTTTAAAGTTTCTTCCTCTTCCAACAGAAACTTTCATCTGGAATAGTTGATGCTGATCAAGAAAATATTACAAATAGGTCGCCACATCATCTTTCAAAATCAGCGCTTAGTTTTGATTCCATCTTCCAAAGAAATTTTATATGCAGCGAAGTGGACAAGACAACCTTTAAGGTTTCCACAGGCTAGAGGTCAAACTGCATGACATGACAGAATATAAAGAAAACGTTGGGCCCTTAAAGTTCAGACAGGTCAAGACTTTCTGGAGAGCATGGCAAAATGGAAATTCATTTTCCAGTTGCTTTTACTTGGTAAACTCAAAACTTGAGAAAAAAAACACGGGAGCACGTGTATGTAGCCATGCCTACTCAATAATATCATTCTGGAGAATAGAGAGCACTTATTTTTCATATGTGCTGCAGCTCTACATCGATATATATATATATATGACCAATAACTACACCTCTGCAAAGGTTCTGCGGTTTACGTAAGTTGAATATGAAAATGAAAAGGAAATTCGAATCCAAAGGGAAACTCTGATTTTATTCTAGCTGAAACCACACGTTGGAGTATATCATAAACAAAAGAGGTAAAAGATATATACAGGATTTATATTTTAGCAGATTGAAGAAATTCTTGATGGAGAATAGCCTTTACCAACAACTTAGTTGCCTCTTTAGATTCAGAAATTTCGTTAATTTGTTGCTAGATTACTCTTGCCATCAATGATTGTAAGCAGTAATAGTAGAAGAATGTGCGTGCAAAGTGAGAATCCAGATCTTTTATTTCATGAAAAAAGAGATAATATGAGATCTGTGATAGAACATAAAAAATAAAAACTGCACATGTATTCGTGTCTAGTAATCTAAAAACTAGGCATAAATCTAGTAATCTAAAAACTAGGCATAAACCCCCACAACAGGATTTCAATTGAAGACCAATGGAACCAAGGTTAAGAAAAAGAAAATTGGTAAACTGGAACAAAAAAAGAACAATTTACCATTGAATAGAAAAAACAATCTGCTGATCAATTTGGGATCTTCTAAATTGGCACCAGAAGCTTTTCGTTTTAAAAGCTCTTCTCCTCTCTTGACAACGGACTCATGACTTGAACAACAAAAAATGAAAAAGTTCCGTTATAATTAAACATCACAAGCGAACCATGAGAGCTTGAACAATTTCTAACATTCCTTACCTATCGGAACAAGCGGCCAAATAGAGTGGATAGACAACGTCGGGATGAAGATTTAGAGCATCTATTACATTCAGAATGCCAATCTGTAACAGTTCCAACCAACATGAGGTTCTTGGTATTGACAAACGCGAAAGGATTATAAAGCTGAATAAGAAACTGACTTACCTTTCTCATTATAAGCAGATCACCCTTCAATGGAAGCTTACCAGTAACACGATCAGACTGAGCAGGAGAAAGTCCCAGTGAGCATCCAGTGCTGCAAAAAGCATCTATTCCACGGTTATAACTAGAAGAAATAAACACTAATACTGCAAACTGTAAGCCACAATGACAGACTTACCCAAGTGACGGTGGTTGGTATAAAAGTGTCCAGAGACAAAAATCAACAAATACTTGTCTATCCCCCTCGTCCACAATCAGTTTATATTTATTTCCAATGGTTTCATCAATCCGAGCTGAATGGCATTCACCAACTACCTGAAACGAACCAAGATTCAAACATGCAAGGTTACATGTACAGTCATCTAGAACACGAAGTACCAGGAAAAACTGGATTCAAGATACGTTCTAATTAAATGTATACCTTTTTATTGTTACAAGAACAGAGAAAATTCGATTTTTTTAATAAACGACACTTTTTGAGAATTTTTAACTAGACTCCAACAACTAATTTAATGCTTCGTTCATTTGGAATTAGTGAGTCTAATAGAGCCAAAAAAGATATCAAGCATTTTTGACATTTAAAGCATGGCACCATGACCCAAGGTTGAACGTTTCTGCAAGCACAAGCGATCCAAGGCATTGGATTCGGGAATCTCATCAAACTCGATCAACAGATGGCTTTTATAAACACTTCAAACCATTGACAAAAGTGGATTAGGTTCTCTGCCAGGAAATTACCATTGACCAGAGTAAAAATAACAACTGGCTTTAGTACGTGACAATCGTATTGACAATATGATGACGATCTTATGGCATATAACATATTAATACCTTCAAAACATTTCTCAATAAGATATCCTGATGCTGAGAAGGAAGCTTTTTAATGTTTGTCACAAATTCGGGTGCCAAGTTTGCCTTTTCCTGTAGAAAACACAATACTGTTCAGAGAAGAATAATGCACAACACTAATACATTGGTCTGTACCATACAACAAAGCGTTTTAGGGGAAAAAAAATCACAATTATGGAAAAAAAAGAGCAAAAAATGTAACTGAAAAAAACATATAAAAAGAAACGAAATTCCGCGAAACTTTTTGTGCACATCAGAGAATTGGTGAAACAAACATAAGAAGGAAATAAATACAAAATAACCAAGAAGGTGTGTTCGTTCATCTCCATTTTCTAGTAGTTTTGTTAATAACTTTTGTTTGTCTTTCAGTAAATATTAAATTGTTTTTCTTAGCATTCTCTCCAGATTGTCCACGACAGTTCAGGTAAGAGGACTTTCCGTCACTCTATCCCTGGGCAGCACAAATATGTCTTGCGAATCTATCAATGCAGACATGTAACACTACAGTTTAGGGGTTCCTGATGGCTTACTGATCATTTAGAGTAGAGTTCTGACATATTTTAAGATTCAAAAATGTTCCTTCCAAAGATTGTCCATATTATTTATAATATAAATTAAAATAAAATAGTGTCTGTCTGATTGATTAAGCTCAACCAGCTCCATAGGTGGGCACATTGATTGCAAATCAAAAAGAAAATCTCCTAATAAATCTGAATCATAGTAGTTTTTTCCTAAAAGATGAATTAATTTACATTCTAAAACATAAGGTCCTCAAGGAGCTTTATCTTTACTGTTTTCTCTGTCTTCCAAACCTTTACATGCAAAGACTCATTGGATTTTACTTCATAAAGACACTGAGTACTGATAGCCAAATGTGCTGATAGGTTTTCGAACAAGGGGAATACAAAATACTGAGAGATAACACAATAACGTCAGGTAGAATAAAGACATCAAAACGAGGGAAAGTGATGGACGTACATTAAAAATCTGGAATGAAGGAAAATATTAAGTTCATTCAGTTACTGTTTCCAGTGCTTGTCCTAAGATGGAGAAAAACGTGAATGAAGAGAGCTAGAATTTACAAAAGAAACAAAGAAAGAGGAAGTGAAGGAACCCATAGTAGTGTTCTGTAAGAAAGATTTCGTCCCCAGCTAAACCTTATCTGTAAAGAGCAAAGAGTAAAAAATTCCAAGCCAAATGAAAGATGTGAATCGGAGATGAAGTAGCGTCAATAGTTTCATCAACCAGGATCCACAAAAATCAATGTCCAATCATTTCAACTAATCTACCAAAGGTGAATAAAGAGTATCAGATAGGGAGAAATGGAATTCGACTAGCTATGTACCTCTTTCTGTCCCTAATCTACAAAAGTGAGGGATTCTCCTGTCAATGGGAAGGAGTTTTTATTCCCATATAATTTGGATCTAATTAAAATAATAAGCAAACAAGAGAGAAACTCTGGGACCTGACTTGCATGTACTATTATTAGGAGGAATTTTCGACGTTAACAAACTCCAAATGACCCCATTCATACGAAGATTAAATTTGAAAAATAACAGTGAATTTTTCACATTAGCGAATTTTTTTCTCATACCAGAAAGAATAGTTCTAGTCGAGTAATGGTGCCAATATTCACCTCTCAGTTAGACTGACCGTGTTTCTTTCGCCAAAAAAAAATAAATGCGACCTCCATGAATTTATTGAAGTTTGGTATACAACATAAAGTTCCTTTAAATGATGACAGACAGAAGATGGAGGACCGAAATAATTGGTACGCACAAAACCTTGCCAACGGAGCAAATTTTAACACTACAGAAATGAAAGACTGACCTCTAAAGGCAGACGATCAAATGCCATCTCGATGTAAACGATGCAGAAATTTCTCACAATTGGAACAGCATTGTCTTCCCTGTACATTGCCCATAACTCCAACAAGGGAAGCTGGATTTCCAGTTGGTGTTTCACTCGCTTGTTCACATGAGACAGAATCTCCATTACCTGCCAATATTTAAATCGAGGAGTTGATAAGACGGATACCAAAAGGAGACTATAAGGAATGGTAATAGGGATTGCATGCTATAGGCTTTTATGCACAATGACTAAGATAGGACGCCTTCCGCAAAAATTCAGAGGAAAAATCTACAAATGCATGAGAGTAACATGACTCGGAGAGAAACACAAAATCCGGGGGCGTAACTGCCATCAAAACACGCCCACATGTCTCAGAGAGGCGCGGAAAGCAGAAATACCAGTTTCCTGATGGATGGGGAGGGGGATGCAAGTGAGGAGATGGAATAGGGAAGAATCTTGGAGAGCAGGATCTTCAGCTTGGAATCGTCCGCCAAAGCCAGGCCAGTCAACATCCTATCCAGCATCTCCTCCCTCTCGTCATCGGATTGGAGCGGAGGCGTCGACGATGCTGGCGGTAGTTCCGCCATTCTCCTTGAGCTCTTGCTCCCTCCTTCGCGGCGGGAATTTCTTATTCTTCTGCTCCAAGTCACCAGTAGTCTAAGCAGGCCGATACTTCAAAGACCACGACTGGGCCATAATATTCCATGGGCCACTCAACCCGACCCAAAAATTCATGAACTATGCTCCACGCCCAGCCGTTCATAGCAGTTGTCGGACGCTCATTATCGTGCCACGTCTCCCAATCACCCCACGATATAATACAATCTGATTATTATGACTGTGAAAACTGATAAATACACTTTAATACCTTAAGATGGAATTTTAATAAAACTGATGCTGTGGTAAAAATAGTCGATGGAGAGAGAAAGATACAGAGATAGAGAGAGACAGAGAGAAGCTCACAAGCTTCTTGGGGCGCAGCCAAATGATGTTTTTATCCTTGTATTATGGTTTGAATATTTTCTGTCATTGTTAAGAAAATTCAGTAAATTCAAAATTTATAAATATTATAAAATAAGCTGATTTAGAAATATTTAATTTATCAATAAAAAATTAGTTAGTTCTATTTATGATTTTCAATTGATAGATTATTTTTCTATATTTTTTAATTATAAAAATTAATGAAAAATTAATAAAATTTAAATTACAAATTTTGACATCACCAAATGTCAACCTATGAAGAACAACCCAAAATTTGAGTCGCCATAAATACTTAGACTCATATTTCTTGAAATCAAAGCTAAAAAGTTCGAATTAAAACTTTGATTTCAAAAGAAAAATTATTTGTAACACAATGCATAATTAAATCAAAAATTTTATAATATGAAAAACACTAAAAATCATTCAAAGATTCAAGTTTTACGTAAGAATGGGTGTAGTCATCAATCAAATTTATGTATGAATTAGATTGACTTGTGTACACATAGTGCATTAATTGAATTCCTACACAATCTCTAGTTGATGAATGAAGATCTCAATAACTATTACTTACTAAAATTGATCAGCAATAATAACTCAACTTGGATTTGCCACAACTTCTAAAGAAAGATTTTCAAAAGAAATTCATCACTATTTGTATTGGACGAAGAATGGGATGAGTTTGTAGATGAATTTCAGCTTATGTGGCATCTGAATCAAGGAGAAATCAAGAAGAATTTCAGCTTAGATGGATGATTTGGGTGAATCCTATATTCATTGTTATAAGAGGAGAGATAATGTGGTTGTGGAGTGCAATAGATTGATTGAAGATCTTTGATTCTTCATCTCCAAGTATTAGAGATAATGTGGTTGTGAATTAATTCTGTTGAACCATCTGTCGTATTCCTTGCCATATTTATTACATTGGTCGTTAAGGTGGAAAATCTAAGAAAACAAATTAGTCATGTATTTTTTATTATCATATAAGCTCATAAAAAATCAAAAAAATCAAAAAAATGCAATTAATATAGAAACATTTTGAGAATAATAATAATCATTGATAAAACTTCACAAAATATTTCATGGTCAATTTCAAGGTGTAATTTTTAGAAAATTAACAAAAAAATCATATAAATGAGCTTAATATCAATTTTCTAAATTAAACTAAATTGGAAAAAAACCATATAAAAATTATAAAATATTAACTATTTTATTGTGTATTAATGAGAGTTACCAATTATTCATATTTGGCTCTATAGCCTAAAAGTTGCAAATTCGGATGTTGCGACAGGGTTGAGGGGTACATTTAAAATCTGATAGGTTTATCTTTTGATTCTATGAAAGCATTAACTTTTCTGATGAGACTATCTAGTGGGGCTTGGATGGAGAGGGTCTCACTATAGACATCATAAGCTAATTGCAATAATAGTGGGCCAACATAGAAGGACAGAGCAATAGGAGAGAGAGAGTACTTAATGACAATGATAATCAAGAGAGAGTGGGGACTGATACCATCTACCACCTTGAGGGGTTAGGCCTCCAACTACTTCTCTACATGGAAATACTCGTGTCCTTTGTCCTCATGCCTCTATTTGTTATCTTTATATCCCCTCACAATTTAGTATTTGCCATTGATATCTACAAGCCACTTTTCTTTTGTGAGGATCCTCTTTTTCGATACTTGTTAGATTCTTTTCTTTTGATTGGTTCTTACATCAAGTCATATGGGTGTTGACATTTTCTTGGAAGGGGGGTGGTGTGTCAACCATCAAGTCCTTTTATGACCATAATGTGATGGGTTGACATATCCCATTAATGCTCCCCCCTAAGATTTCCACCTTGTCCACAAGGAGGAATTAAGAAAACTAGAGATGGAGTGGTTGACCACCTCCTAGAGTTTTTGAAGTTTGAAAGTCTATCAAGTAGATGAGGACCTCGACATGTGAGGACCCAAACAAGTATGATGGATGGTTGCTAGTTCCATTGTCCACATAAAATCATTGTCAATAAAGAGTGGGGTTGTGGCCTACATGACTGGCCAATGGTGCATTTGAACATGTGATGGGCTGTAGAGTGAACCGATAAGCTATTGGACCCATGCATTCAGAAACTTTGAATGGCTCCAAGAAATGAGGCCCCAACTTCTCATATGGACATCTTGTCAAAGACTTTAGATGGTATGGGCATAAGTGGAGATAAATATAGTCACTAACAGTGAATTCAAGTTCATGTCAATGGTGGTCCACACAGATTGTCTATCTATGTCATGTTTGCTTTATAATTGATGATTAAAGGTTTACTACATATAATGGAGACGGGAGTCATGTTAGCCAAGATGTGGAAATTAGTATTATACTAGTATTCCACTCAATTGAGCCACTTGCTCCACTATCAAGGTCAATTGTTGAAGTAGCAAAGATAAGTTTCTAATATGTAATTGACAACTTCAAATTATTTGTTGATATGTGAATAATAGGTGTTGGTTTGGCATAGTGTGGAGCCTTGTAGCTTGAAGAGTTCATGCTAGAAGATGGTTATAAACCTTTTGTAAAATGTCATATAATTGAATATGATATTTTGTGAGAAGATTTGAGTAATATATTTAACTGTGAATAGGTCTATGATAAAAGAGAAATGGCCAACTTACTAATTTTGTCATTGACAATCAAATTGACATTGAAAACATATAACTTAGGAAGACCCTCAATGAAGTTCATAGAAACATGTCTCAAAATTTGTGGGGATGGGTAATGGCTAGAAGAGGCTAGTAGGCAAATAGAATGGGATTTATACCTAATTTTTAAAATCCTTCTTCATTGTAACATATATGACATTTTGTTTGATTCTATTATGTGTATGTAAAAATTCAAAGTGCCGTCTGATCATTGAGTTGTGAAACTTGTGGAGCATTTTTGATATGATTGTTGAGTTTTTGGTTAGCACAAACAAGCCATAGTGGAAGAGGGACTTATGACCATCAGTGTACTTGGGCCATTGTTCTATGTGGGAGTGTAGTCCTTGGAAAGCTTATATTTTGAGGTTGTCATGATATTTGTATGTTATGAGAGCCACATCTGGTAATTTAGGACGAAGGTCTCAACTATGTAAGGTGGTGACTCAAGCTTCCATTATAAGCTATCAACAACTTCTTCTTGACCTTGTACCTAGTTTCAAAGTTGAAGCTAATAATTTTGGAGAGCTATTTTTAATAATTGAGTGAGACTTGTCATTGCTCAGAGATAAGTTTGACGTTACATTAATCTATGAGGATGATGAACTTCTTTTTAAGTAGATACTACTTTCATTCGAGCATTATAAGTATGATGGCTATGAGTTCACCCTTGTATATGATAAAAAACTTATTGACGGATGAGAGGCCTTGATAATAGTCTATTTATAATGTATAATTTGGAGTTTATGCATATAGTTTGATTACTTTTAGAGAGCATCATGCCTTGAATTCAATGTAATACACCATTATTATTAATTGATTAACTTCCATGTAAGAGACATGATTTATGCTTGAAATGTGATTTACAAATGTAGCCCATTATATATTTGAAAATGTGTTCATACATATAAATATGTTTTCGTATGGACTATTGATTGCAAACTGATTTTAAATATATATAAAGCAGTGAACAAGATTGGAATATCATTTGAAATTTAATTAGATAATATTTCAGAATTTTTGAAGGATGAAAGAGGAGGATCTTATTCATTGACTTATGTCTAATTTGTATTATTGAGAGGGATGTTTGATACTTCAAAAGGCGTCACATTATCTCACATGAGATTAAGTAACAAAAAGCCTTTGAAATTATCTCATGTGGGTCCCATGTGAGCACCTTTATAATTAATGAAAATCAATTGTAGGAAATGACAATAGAGAACGTAGTGTGTCAAATCAAAATGATTGAAGGAAGAAAGGAGGCTTTGCAAGAGGAGACCGGAGGAAGGGGAGAAGGGAAACTGTTAGCACAACCACCCCATATATACTCCTTTGTGGCGTAAAATTAGGGCAATCCATTTACGACAGAGGGGATGCCAACAAGCAAGTGTAGAACCTTTTTTAGATCTTTTCTTGAGTGGTATGTTCTTATTTGATTCTCTTTTAGAAGGTTTTTGAACCTCTAAAGGAAGTCTATTGTCTCCCTTTTTCTTCACTCCGCAGACAAACATTTAGGGTCCATTTTCTACCCCTTTCCCTCCATGAATTATAGTGAAATTCTCACTTTCTTTCTCACCCTCCAACAATGTACAGTTGGAGAATGATCCTCCATGGATTTTGGTGCATCTTGGTGAGTACTATCATGTGACGTATAGCTTGCTCAAGCATGTGGTAGGTGATGGCTACCACAGAATAGTAGGGAGCGATCCTCTTAAGAGTCGGTCGATCTCATTTCACTTGTGGTATAGGTGCAGCATTGCCACAAGTAAGTTAAGGTTTATTTTGCCTGTTACTCTCATTTTCCTCTAATCAGTACATTTAAACATTCATGTTTCTCAATTATTTTCGTTACAATCATACATTTGGATTTCTAACTATCCTCGTGATCGACCCAGATATTACCCATATTTCACCCAATGAGTTTTATGTTAATTTTTG